CTGTCAGAAGTGAGTGAATGCTCTCTGTGATTGATTGGTTCTGTCTTGCAACATTTGCGTGTTCAGATGAGCAGGAAAATAGTTCTATCCTACACAGTTACTTGCTAACAAAGGTTATTCGTCCAATTCAATGCATATTGTACGCATTATTTTATTTTATTTTTTGTTGAATTAACAAAATCACTGGTAAATAAAACACACCTTAGTATCGATATTTTTTGTTTGAGTATCGATACTTTCGATACTCACGTCAGTATCGATAGATCGATACGCCCATCCCTACTGCCAAATTCAAACTGCGTTTTCGCGCTTTGGCTGATGCTGAGACGCTGCTGCACTTGTCATATAAATCACAACTATGCAACCACATAATGTTTATTTTAGGTTTCAGACATTTAAATACATATAAGTACTAGTAAAACAATACATTTAAAGTTCGTAAAATACACACGGATGTTTATGGAAGCAGCAATAACAATCCATTCAAATATAATTTGCCTACGTGTTTTATTAATATCAGATACACATAGTGTAAGTAACTATAAAGTTCACTCTATTCTTCTCCCAGTTCACCGCCACTTATTTGCATGTATTTCGGGAGAAATTGATGAATTCACGTGCTGTAAATCCGACCGACAGGACTCTCTGAACTGCAGCGCGAACAAACATGGCTGCGCACATCTCACGTTACAGTTCACGATCAAGATCATTTAGAAAGGTTTTTAAACGACAAAACACACTCATTTACACATATTTGTGAATCGGAATATCAGATTGTTCATAACATGGTAAGCAAGATTATGAATATTTTGAATAAAAAATGAAAAACGAAATAAAAGCGATCAATCTGTCATACAGTGTTATTGTGGCCGCGGTGTGCACCTGACAAGCATGACGCTTCGCCATGGAAACAGTAAGGGGAAACGTTCTAAAATAATGGTCGCCTAAAAAAAACTCACTCTGGGGGGACCGCTAGAATATTTTAAACTCACCACTGAAAAGGTTAAATTGTGCTTTGTTGGTATAATGTCTGCTAGAATGTTATAAAATGTTCAGTGTTAAATATTGTAATTTTTTCTTTGAAAAGCAAGACAAAACAGTAAAAAGCACATTTTGTCTAATTAATTTGTGCAATGGTGAAAAAAATTGGCAAAATACATGTGGAAAAAAAACCTAGAAAAACTGTGTTCGGTATTCGGCCTTCGGCCCAGTGTTTCATTTTGTTCGGTTTTGGCTTCGGCCAAGAATTTTCATTTCGGTGCATCCCTAATAGTCATATAGTATTTTTTTTGGCTTGTTATTGCTTGTTCTCTGTATGATTTGGCAATATTGTATGCAAAAAATCATGCCAATAAAGTACTTAAATTAAATTGAAATTAATAAAAAATTTACTATTTTATCTAACATTTGTGTGTGATGTGTAGTTGTGTGTTTATTAGAGTTCATGTTGTTAGCTTAGCAACATGATCATACCGTCTTGATAAATGTCTATTTTTTATATATTTATTTATTTGTTTATTATCTTTTTAATTCAATAGCAGCTTATTTTAATACAGTTTTTTTTCAACTGTTGTTTGTTATTATCATATCCCTGCTGAAAAAACAAGCATATGCTGGTTAGGTATGTTTTGAAGCATGGTAGCTGGTTTGAGCTTGTTTAAGTTGGTCCTTGGTTGGTCATGAGTGGGTTTAAGCTGGTCCTGAGCTGGTTATAAGCTGGTCCTGAGCAGGAGCTAGTTGCTTAGGACCAGGTCAGGACCAGCTTAAACCAGCTACCATGCTTCAAAACATACCTAACCAGCATATGCTGTTTTTTTCAACAGGGTATTGTGTATTTTTAACTTGTCATCACTTGCTTTGCTTATTAGAGCACCAAACTCCACTGAAATCAATTATGCATATTCTGTGCACTTTGTGCAGGAGGAGCTATTTGTATGAAGCGTGGAGATTTGCATGAACAGAGCCATTATGCTATACGTATTTGTTTTTAGTATTTATCATACTCACAGTCTCTGTAGTGCACTTTGAGGACTCTGAGACCGGCCACGTTATCCCGCATTACGACCCGGTTGAGTCCTGTGGCTTTGTCGACGCGTTCAATCACCTCAAAGTCTCGATCTGTGAAATACAGGTAGGAGTCGTATACGGCCACACCCCACGGATGGGACAGTCCATTCACCATAGTGATGCGGTTTGATCCATCGGGATCACCGCGCTCGATCTGAAACACAGAAGAAACCGTTGAGTTATTCTGTTAAATAAGTTTTAATTTGGTGGAGATATGTAACGGGTGTCAAAACGAAATAACGACCAATATGGGTTCTAAGGTGGATGCAAAAATAAATAAATAAATGTATATACATAAATACACTATTATAGGAAATAATACTCGGCAGGGACACATCAATTTAATCAGAAGTGGGTAAAAACATTTATAATGTTACAAAAGATTTCTTTTTTTTTTTAAACTTCCAAATCAGCATATTAGAATGCTTTCTGAAGGATCATGTGACACTGAAGACTGGAGAAAAAAGCTTTGCATCACAGGAATAAATTACATTTTAAAATACATTTAAATAGCACCCAGTTATTTTAAATTGTATTAATATTTCACAATATTGCTGTTTTTACTGTATTTTTGGTCAGATATACTCCGCTTTGGTGAACATAAGATATATATTTCTACATTAATGTTTCTGACTGCCATACCACGCCAGTTCCTGTAACAGCCCAGTAGAGCTTGTTCTCTCTGATGTCTATGGTTATGAACTCCACATGTTCCAGATTATGGGTGAAGAGGATGGCTGCGTTGGAGCCGTCCATATCTGCTGATGCCACCTTGGCCGGGATCCCGCTCTCTGTTCCCTGATCTGTCCAGTACATCTTTCTAAAACAAAGACAGATCATCACTAAACAGAATAGCATCATGTATGCAAAACCATAACGTATGGTAAAAACTGCTCTTTTGCCTCTGTGTTTGTATACAAATACAGCTATTTCATTCGTATACAAGTATATAATCTAAGGACTGATCATGACTATGTGTGCTTTAAGTTGACTGTTGTTTATTGAGCTCAGGCAGTTCAGTCCTGGCAAATGACATTAAATCAGCTGGAGCTTGTTGAATTTGGGGGTCAGGGTTAATTCCAGACTTCTGCTTATCTGGACTTACCCACGTGCCGGATCCACCGCAATGCCAACGGGAGCTCCTGCACCAGTAGGTGAGCCGTTGTTAGTGATGAGAGTCTTTCTGTACTGAATCTCTCCTTTTAGCCTGAGAACCTGAAACAAATCAGATTGGGTTTGTTACAATAACAGTACCAGTGACATTTCTCAATTATTGCTACCAATTTAAATACCACTGCATAACTAACAACTTAAATATTTAAAATGTAAAAAAAAAAAGTTTAAACAAATTACATTTAAAAAATTTATATTAAGTAAATATTTTCTCAGGTTGTTCAAATAATAATCCAAGTAAGTAATACAAAAACAGAGAACAAAGAAATGAATTACAAGCAGTACAACAAAGAAAAACAATACAAATGAAATTTGTAGCAGTATCAAGTATTCAAGTAAATATTCAACAATTGAAGCCAAATGCACAGGTCTAATATTTTGACATTGTATTTTTGTTTCACCTGCTTACATTTACTCGAGACAAACTGACTCAAAAAGTGTTTACATTAATATGAGTACAACATTTATGTATTTTTGTGTTGAAAACAATGATTTTAATTTTCATAATTTTTAACTTGGATCTTCTTGCTTCCAGTGTTATTTTAGTATTATTAGGGCCCAAGCCAGTAAGGCGCAGGGCCCTATTGTTTTTCTAAGGATTTTTATTTATTTTTTTTTATTCAACCTTCCGGGGCTTTTTGAGGGCCTTAACATGCTCAAAAACTCTTGAAAATTTGCACACGCGTTGGAACCTGCGGCCATCAGGACGCCGCAGAGGCTGAGACCTGGGCGTGGTAGAGGGGCTCTACGGCGCCCCCTGGAACACAGTCAGAAAACTTGATGTATAGCTCACACATACTTGCACGTATTCATATGAAACTCAGTACACATATAGAACTCATTGAGCCGAACAACTTTTGCACTGCATGTCATAGGCTCCGCCCAACAGGAAGTTGGCTATTCAGGGCTTTGTAAAAAGTGCATGCTCTGGAATTTGATATACTCGTCTGAGGATTTCCAACAGATTGCCACCAAACTCGGTGAACATGATCTCAGGACATTGGGGACGCTAAATTGCCAAGGGATTTTTGATATCTCGAACGGTTTGCTCGTGGCGAGGCGATGAAGTTATGGCGAGAAATGAGAAACAGAAAGCGTCTAATAACATCCACATACATTCTCTGATTTTGATCAAAATTCAGGGGTTTGTTCGTTGTATGATGCCGATCGCATACATGTGACAACTTTCTAATTTACAGTCATTAGCTACGCCCAACAGGAAGTCGGCTATTTTGATTTGAATATGGATTTTTGGAAAAATATAGCTGTGAATTAATGCATACTCCCCAGAGGAAAATTAATCTATACACACCAAACTTTGTCTACATCGCACCGTTCTCCTGATGCCACCGGGGTGGCGTTTGCACTGATGGCTTGGGCCCGCCATCGCTGCTTGCAGCTATATTTTATATATTATTTTTAGTGCTGTCAAATGATTAATCGCGATTAATTGCATCCAAAATAAAAGTTTTTGTTTGCATAATATGTGTGTGTTCTGTGTATATTTATTATGTATATATAACTACTGGTTACAAGACCTAAACTAGTTTTTAACATTGATGAAACTGGTGTGTTTAAACTTTTCTTCAGAAAATCTTCAGCACGTAGAAATAACCCTCAGCCCTGACAAGAACAATTTATGATGCAGGGGAATGAGATCTAAAGTCTTGCCAACCTCTATAGACTGTGATGCAGGGTTGGAGTAGTACAGGTTCCGAGACATCCAGTCCAGAGCCAGTCCGACTGGAGAACCCAGGATGGCTGCTGGCGCGAACTCAGTTCTGTTGGTACCATCTGACTTTACTCGATGAATCTCCCCCTGTGCAGATAAATAAGATACAATTAATAGACAAAATCCGAATTTTAGCATTCAAAACACCTGTTAACTAGTTAAAATTAATGATACAACTCATTTGAGATAAATTGAGATAGGATAGTTGAAGTGTTTATATGATTTACCGGATGTTCCACCCAATAGATCATCTGCTCAGCATCATCAAAGTCGACGTCATATCCATTCAGCAGCCCGGCGACTGGCACCATTGCGTCATTGCTCTTATCATTCGGGTTGAGCGGGATGCCGTAAATGATGCTGTCTCTCACCACCACCAGGAATGGATCCTCAACTGCAAAGTCATCAGCCATAATTCATATGGTATTCATAAAAATCATAATAATGGGCTTTTCAGCAGTGTGACACATCTTATTTTCAAACCAAACAATTACGCCATGTTTAATAATTAAATGATTTCAATTTTGGGTGAACTTCCTGTAAGCAAGCTCACAGATGTCTATCCTTGAGAAAAAGAAGTACACTTTAGCATATTTTATAAGAGCACTTAAGGAAATAAAATACCTTAAAATAATATACTTAAGTGCAAACTCAATGTACTGTCATGTGTTTGGATACTTAAGTGCATGTTATGTGCAATTAAATTAAATGAATTATAGTTGAAATTTATATTAAATGCAGTTAGTCAAACTTAAGATTGCTTTTTTGACTCACTTTAGTAGGACTTAAGTGCATCTTTATATGTCATTTTAAAATGAGTGTGAAATTGCCTTTGAAATGTGGTTTAAGTGTACTGCCAAATGTATTGGCAAGTAATTATACTAGTACTGTTTTCAGAAAACAAGACTTAATATTAATAATTTTGCTTCTCAAGTAAATGTATCTTGATTTAAGAATATTTAGATGCTCTCTTTTAAGTACATTTAAGTGGCCTTTTATTTCAGTAATATCTTCTGCATTATCTGCAAGTTTGTTTTTTAAAATATATTTTTAAGATTTGAAGTACACTACAAGTACCCATTCGATACAATTAAGCACACTTATTTTTCACAATGGATAGCACAGATTCCCAGAATTAGGTATCATCTCGTTGCATTTAGTGCAGATATGAGCTACTGGTGTAAAAGGTCTTGCAGAGTAAACATAGCTGTGTCAGCACAGTTGATTGCGATAAACAGCCCATTCAATCACCGTTTGTATGGATTAATTGTTAAACTCTCATGGAAGAATGCACTTGACAGCACTAACAAAGGCTGAAACCTGAGCGAGGTTGAGAGTTTGCCCTAAGAGAATGTTAAGGGCTTCTTAAGACTAAAGGCCTCTTGCGTGCTTTCATCCGTTACCGTCAGCTGAGCTAAGGCCTTTTATAATAGTAAATGTTTGCCTCTGCAAAGAAGCTTACTAAGTAAATCGAAAATGGGTTGCTGTTGACAAGTTTTCATTCCCCTGAAATCTATATCCAATTTTAACAGAAGGCTGCTTTATTCATTCACTGTGAAGTAGATTAAATGGACAGAGGCCAGTGTTAAAGACATAGACACATGCATTATTCATTAAAACAGCCACAAGCAGGAATAAACTGTTAAACTCATTGCATTAATTTATCTTGTCCATTAAAGTCCTTTTAGATACAATGGTTAGCATCAACCTCTTTCCCTCAACAAAAACCCAATAGGATTTTTCCTTTAGGTGTTTGGCTTCTTTAGCTTTTGATTCTTACAGGTTTAATTCTTTAAGAAAATCTTTACAAACTTTTATGAATTTTAAAGCCTACATACAACAACCAGAAGCAAAAATCTGAGGTTACACTACATGACTTCATTGTCATCGCCATGAAGTTTACTGACAACTCTTTCAATCTCTATTTTAAAGTTGGAAAGTCTGAGTTGGAATAGTTTGTAAGAGCATAATTATAAACACTGTGAGGGTATAAAATATGAATAGTTTGATTCCCATTTAGCCACTTGTTAGCAACTGACTTATTCAAGATACATAAAAGCTTAAAAATCACAAGTGGGGTATTTCGGATTTATTTTATGTTGTAGAATAAAACGTGAAAATATCTTGAGCTTGATTTAACCACAGACCATATTTCAGGCATTTAACTTGACTTTTATTGACTTTGGGACAATAGAAACGGAAGTGCAAACACTCATTTCCGGGTTTTAGGACTCATTCAAGCAGCACTCCATACTGACCCAATAATTCTGCCAGATTTGAATATTCCTTAGTGAATTTTCACCAGAAATGTTTTTAGCATTTATGTAAAATTGGTGTATAAAGGCAGAAATGTATTACACATCTCTTTGGCTATCATGCTATTTATTAGATTTACATTCACATTAATGGTACATATTTACATTCTACCAGTTCTTGCTTTCTCTGGGAATTAAACCCATGACCTTGGCGATGCTAGCGCCATGCTCTACTGTTTCACACTGCAGAAAAAGATTTTCTTACACTGTATTTTGTTAGTTTTTTTTTAGTACAAATATATCAAAATTCTTAAAGCAAGATACATTTACTTGAGAAGCAAAATTACTTAAGATATTAAGCCTTGTTTTCTGAAAAAAAGACAAAAACTTAAGCGACTGCCTAAAACAAAAAAAAAAAAAAATCTGTCAGTGAGCTAAAAAAAATAAACTTAACTCAAAAGGGAAAACAAGATTAGTTTCTTGCCCCATTGGCAGATATTTTTTCTGGTTTTAAGCATTAACTAACTTAATTTTGATAGATTTTTCAGAAAACAAGACTTGTGTTATTATGCATCTCACGTAAATGCATCTTGATTTAACCCCTTAAAGGGTTAGTTCACCCAAAAATGAAAATTACCCCATGATTTACTCACCCTCAAGCCATCCTAGGCGTATATGACATTCTTCTTTCAGACGAATACAATCGTAGTTATATTAAATAATGTCCAGGCTAATCCATGCTTTATAATGACAGTGGAGGGTAGCCCAAAATTTGAAGTCCAAAAAATTTAACCAATCCATTATCAAAGAAGTCCACACGGCTCCAGGGGGATAATAATGGCCTTCTGAAGCATTTGCAGCGTTTGTGTAAGAAAAATATCTAGGGCTGCAACAACTATTCCAGCGGTTCTCAATTCCAGTCCTCGCGTACCCCCGCTCTGCACATTTTGTATGTTTCTCTTATTGCTTCAGACGTTTGTTATATTTGACTGTAAGTGCCCTGCGAAGTGGACATTACCGGATATTCCTCCATGATTCCAGTTCGAAGGGAGCA